CTATTATTCTCTCGAGAATAAGAGAGTTACATCCTTCTGGCTTGATACTGATGAGGAATGGAAAAAAAATAATAAGCATACTCCAGGAGAATAGTATGCTTTGGTAAAGAGCGAATAAGAGTGGGTTAATTAATATTGGTAGGGATAGGACTTTTGTTTTTTACAACTAGGCGATATATAATTTCAAATTACTATTTCAAATTATTATTATTTTTTTTGCATATCCTATTTACCCGCAAATTTTAAATTGATATAAAATCCCTGACTAGAGTGAGAATTATATATTTTTTTCCTTCTCTAACCCTCTGATAGTTTTTATTGATCATGGGTAGAGAAATTACAGAATAAATTTTTTGAATTGAACTTTATCTCACATAATATAATCTGAATACTACGAATTAATCTAACTATCACATACATTCTACACATCACAAAATGTCTGTTATTATAATCAAGTTCGTTACAGATCACAAATTCATCAATGAAATGGGTCTTAAAGAGCTCAGTCAGTATGCGTCAGAAATGCATAACCTTTTGATAGATAATAAAGAGAAAAAGCGTTAAGCACGTAATCGTCTCCAAAAGGTGTATAAATTTAGCAAAAAATAGGACTTACATTGATTCCTAATTAGAGAATTGGGCAGTACATAAGTCAAATACTAATATTGATCCCAGAAGCTAAAGTGAATATTAGTCTAGTTTCTGATAACGCTCTAGAAGGAAAGACTATTAAAGAAATAGCTCACCATATTGTCTGAGATAATCTTAGTGAAAGAGATGCAAAAGTGATATCTAGAACCTTAGAGAAAACATTTTCTAATGTTATTGTCGCCTTATTACATCTTTTTAGGCTTCGAAGAGAATTGCAAACTCTCAATGCTCCAGAAAAAATAATCTCTGCTATGAAAAATCCAGAGACAAACAAATTATTCAATAAAATTCAAAAGGAACGTAGTGAGCAATGTAAAAATAAAGGGTTCTATTATCTGGATCACTTTTCATTAGAATCAGTTAAGGAAAGATTAGATGAGTATGATGTATCTAATATACCTGACAAACAGACCTTAGCTGATATAATGATCATGTTCTGTATCCATCCTGCTGAAATTAAAATTCTGCGTATATCTAATAGTAGCGTAACTGAATATGTAAAAAACTGAGGTGAATAGGATATTTCTTGAGTATTTAGATCATTGGAAAAGAATGAGAAGCAGGCTAAGCAATTACTTATATGATTTAAAATGCGATTTCTTCTAAAGAGTTAAGAAACCTTGAGAAGCCTGGATCTACATATGTAAGTGCATTTCTAAAAAAAGATAAATTTATTCCTAAGCCTTATGACTCACTACTTCCTAGCTCTTTGTGCAAATTGGGATCAGTATTTGCTAGTATAACATATATGCTTAAAAACCCATCAAAATTTAACACTTATACTAGGAAAGCCCTTTGACATTCGCCCGATACCCATGTTTCTCCATCTGATAGATATACTATAGTCAATTATAGAAAGCGGGATCAACTTTATGATCAAGTAAGTCTATTTAATATCTTTGATGAAAATAGTTCTTAAGGAACTAAACTAATCACATATATGAGTTAGAAAGAATCTTAAAGGAATCGGGTCAGGAGGGTTAGCTTTGCTAACCTTATATTATTTATTAATTTTATTTTTTTTGCTTTCTTGATCTGTCGATCTGCAGAAGATAGTCTATTCTTTTAACTAAAGTAACTTACCCTAATATTTTATCTGATAGAGTTTCTTTTTTTCAAATAAATATGAGAAAAAAAATAGATATATCATATATAAAATATCGCAAAAATGATAACTGATCAAAAGCATTCATCTGATAGTACGTTCATCAAGCAGGAAGTTATCAAATATACAAAGATATTAACCTAAGCATTTAGACTAAATGAGCAAAATGCAGAAGTATATAGTACACTTTCTAGTGAAAATAGTGTGTTAAAGAAACAATTAGAAGATTATCATTCCTAACATAACACTTTAAAAAGAAGGGTAAAAAGATTAGAAAGAGATGTAGAATCCTTAAAAATTGAATTGAGAGATCTGAATGAATGTGTAAATAGGAAAACTGTGATCGACTTAATACAAGAAATAGTTCCTTCGCTAATTAGTAAAAAAAGGTAAGGATTTTTTCTATTCATCTGAGTTTTCTGAAGAATCTGATTCAGTTGAAGACATTTGTAGTAAGAGAGCGAAAAGCTATTTCTCATAAGCAACGAAGAAGGGCATAGCTGAGAAAAAGATCTGTGAGACAGTAATCAACTCAGAAGAATTTGTTAAGCCACAGATTGTGTGAGAATAATCTTATTTTTTTCAATTAAAAAATTCTTTGAATCACATAGCATATATACAATTAATTTACTTGATCAACTTACATCATAATTAATACCATTTATTCTAAAATATCTTTCAGACCAGGATTTAAAACATGTTAGCAGTATAAATAATATATGGAAAAAAGAGGTAAATCTTGAATGGTCTAGAATAGTTCTCATAGATTTTCGATTTAGAATTGACATAAGTGTTAATGCAAATTACATTAGTGAAAAAATTGTAAAAATAACATATACAAAAATAATAGTAATTCTAGAATAAACAGGTTTTTAGGTGAATCTTATTCCATATTAGGAAAGGTCAATCTACATATTATCTTAAATGCTGGCAAGAAGCATAAAAGCATACCTACCGAATTTATAGTTACTGGATTAGATTGGCTTAATCAATTTTCTAAAATACTCTTAGGTCACCATAGATGCGAGAAAATAGTGTAAGCTTAAATATGATATTCTAATTATATAAAAATGCATATAGTTAATTTGCTAGAACATCTTCCGTCAGAATTAATACCATTTATTATAAAAAATCTTACAAACCAGAATCTAAAAAATTTTCACAGTATAAATAATATATGAGCAAGAAGGTAGATCTTGAACAGACTAAAAGAAAGACTCTTTTCGATTTTAGTACTATGTCATTAGTTTAAGGTAAAAATACAGTTAAAGTTTTTTATTTGAAGCTGAAAGAGTATAATAAGAGTTTTAGCTATAGTGAAGAATTCCTTAAATGTGTATTATTAAAAAGAATATCAAATGAAAATAGAATAAAAGCTCTTATAGATGGTTTACAAGTGTTTACATTAGATGAGATATTAGAAAAACTTAGCCTAAAGCAGTGATCGCATAATTTTATTTTTTTTGATTAAAGATACAACATATAATATGCACTATGTATAGCGTAATCAAGCATCTTTTATTTACTAGAATTATTAGAACAGATTTTACATTTTTTAACGATAGATAAATCCCTTTATCTCACTCTAAATGTTTTTTGATTATGGTATAGATGCAGTGCCCTTATTCTATGAAGACGTATTGAGCTAAAGAGGGACAAAGTAGAGGATAAATTTCGATTAGAAAGATTTTTAAAATAGTATCTGAAGGAGGAAGAAAATCAGTTTATAGCTCAAAACTAACTTATCTTAAAATAACACACTACCGTTCACTTTCAAATAAAAAAATCAAAGGCATTGTGCATACTTTTCAAAATATAATTCATTTAGATTTCAAAAGAAGTATGAATTGTACAGGTAAAGTTTTAAAGCTAATAGTAGAATCATACTCAAATTTGAAGTATCTCAATATATCTAATTTACGTAAAGAATTTTGACCAAAAAATAATATAGGTCTAACTGTAATTGTAAATTTATGTTATAAATTAGAATGTCTAAATATTTCTAAACACACAGAATTTTCTGAAATATCAATTTGTATATTATTTGTTCTTGCCTAAGGCTCCAGCAACTTGATCTTAGCTTTTGTAAAATTACTAATATAACTATCGAAGAAATTGCTAAATTATGTTTTAATTTAAAATTTCTTAATCTGAGGGATATTATAATATTAGCAAAAAAGCTGTGAATCAGCTAAATCCAGATATCTACGTAGAGGATTTTGTGAAAACTTTAACATCTCCTGATCTCATTGGAGTGGTTAGAAATTATCTTATACAAAACAATGTTGCTAATAGATAGATTTTAGTTCAGAGCCTTCAGAGCCTCTTAGATCTAAGTATGCGAGATAATTTGCAATAGTATTCTGATCCAGGGTTGGCTAGATCAATAGTCTGAAGTGGTGATCATTGATCAGATTTTTTTGCTAAGCCACAATGCATGTACTCTATATAACAAAAATATGCAGATTACATAGCTATATTAATTTTCACATATAACGAAAGAAAATATATATGCTAACTAGTACATCTATTTTTTTTCTAAATAAATGTAAGAAATATGAAAGAAAGTCTACATGCAACACAAGATTTACCCTAAAAGCAAATAATGTTAACAAAAGCATATATTATGAAAGGCTGAAGAACTTGCAATTTTGAGATCACCAGACATAAAACTAAGTATATGTTTTTCCAGTAGATCTACATGTGAAGAGGTATGAAGATTCCATTTATATATGCTTTCATAGAACTCTTGGCATTATACGACAATGCTAATCATTATTTTTTATCTCCTTATCTTTTGCCCAGCAAAATATAAAGCATATAGAGGTATATAGAAGTTTAGCTAACTTTTTGCAAAAAATAATTGAGGTATGTATATGTCAGAAGTTATGTTTTCTGCAAGCAAAAATTTCTCACAATAGGCTCTTGCATTTCAGAAAATGAAATATGGCCAATATTACTTTCAGATATCTTATTATTCCCATTGGAGATTTCATTAGAATCCTACATAATATTGCTAATCAAATGATTACAATTTCCCTTAGAAATACAGTTAGAAATCTTCATGCTCAGATTCAGCAACAGTTATCACAACTATTCAGAAATGTTCTATTTTATCTTTGTGTATTTTGTCCTAAACCTATTAGATATGTTGCTATACAAGAAGGAGGGAATTTGATTTCAGATTTTTTTGATGAAAATATCGCTATTGATGTTCACCATATTCTTGTAGAGGAGGATGTATATGGTTATTATAACTAGTAACACAAAATATTCACAATTTTATGTACTGTAGGTCAGCTTCTAGCAATATTTTTATTTTATAAATAAAGTATTATTATATCGAATGTAAATGAAAAGTGGGTCACGTGTAATAATACAATATCTGTATGACATAAAAACCTATATAAATGTCCAGTATTTTCTTTTCTGAATTTTTATCTCACTCTGAAATGTAACACTATTTTGTCTGAGCCTAATAATCATATAAAAGCGTTATGTTTACCTCAATAGCTGAACACGACTCTTATCTAGTTGAGAACTGGGATATGGAAACCCTTATTGATTTTTTAAAAGAGCAAAATCTCAAGCTCAACGACAATAACTTGGGAATACTTCGCAAAGAAAAATTACCAGTCAAATATTTCTCAGGTTAACCAAAGAAGAACTCTAAGGTATTGGGTTGAAGTTAGATCCTGTAAAAGCGTTACTTGATGAAATTAAGACATTTAAAGAAAAGCTGAAGTGTGCATTCTACTCGTATCTCAGCTTGAGTGAAATATTAGCAGAATATGATCTTAACTTCGATAGTATAGATTCCATTCCACTCTTCACACTATCAACTTATGAAATCTAAGACGAGAATAAGGTCTTCAAGCGTTGTATAAAAAAATTTTAGGTAGTTGCGCTCATACATAATTTTACAATCAGACAGCTTGGAGGCTATGCGTAATGAGTATGTTGTAGCGCTTCTTTACACTTCTATCTATATCATCATGAATATAATAAACAAGAAGCTTAGCATGCATTCTCAGTATAGAATAGTTAGCGAAGAAAGTTGAGAACGGGTCGATTATGCAATCAAGGTATTTTTTGTTATTCCAGCTATACTTGCAATTATGTTAACTTACCACTAATACAAACTATAGAAATATATAGGTAGGAGACTGAAGACCTTATCTGTATTATAGAAGATAAATAATATAAGGTTCCTGTAAGCATTGCACAGAATATCAAACAGCTTAAAAGCGTATGCGAGACAAACAAGAGGACGAGAAAGTGGGGTGATGATAATTTTGACTATTTCTATAGTATCATTACAACAGGTTAGGATTGGCATTTTTTCTATATAGCCCTAGAAAAATATCCAAGGCAAGTGACACTGCATATTCGATCGAATTTACCAAGAAGGCCTTAGACCAGAATTCCAACTCATACAAATCACTATATAATAGTGTAAAAGAGGTTTTAGGCATAATTGTAGGTCTGTTAAAGGATAGGGCATGTGTGAAGGAAGAACTTAATAGGAAAAAAACTAGGATAGAGGGGTATCATTTGAAAAAATAATTGTGTATATTAGCATAGTCGTCATATATTACAGGCAAAGTCTCAAACATTGTATTTATTTTTCTCATGTATTAATAAAAAATTTTTTTGATAAAAGTAATCTGCATTCCAAATTGGAACAGATATGTGATCTTTTATTATTTAATTTGAATATTTAGTGTACTAAACAAGTGTTATTAATCATGTCAAATGCATAATCTATTAATTCATTAAGAAAGGTAAATGCTAGACTCTTAATTGAGATTTCTGAACTCAGGAAGAAGTTTGTAGAGATTAAGGCTAAGAATGCGAAGCTGAAGTAGATTATTGAGAAAAATGTCAGGCGTGATATTAGAGTTGAGGAATTAGAGTAAAAAATATGGAGCTTAAGGTCAGACTCGTAATAGTGGAACAGGATTCTTTGGTAGTGAATGATTAGCTACATAAAGAAGCAATATCAAAGAGGTTTGTAGAGCAAACTATATCAGATGTTAATTTATCTAGCTCAGTAATAGACTAGCGAAATAATGATGATGTTAAGACATTAGAGGAAAAAGAGATGAATGCTTTCTTGGTTAAGGTAAATAAGAAAAGCATTAGTGATAAAATTAGAGAAAGCAGGCAAGAAAAGAAGGTTCAGGATAAGATGATTGCCAAAGACTCATCCTCTGTTACTTCAGACTTGACTTACTGTAAGGAGGACCTCTTTATGACTAGTGCTGAACTTATAACTCTCTCAGAATAGATAGTTAAAGAATTGATTCCAGCTTATAAGTCAGTTACCTTTGGTAACAAATCATCTGCTGGAACATTGCCAGTAAAATTATCTATGGCGGACAAACAGGCTCTAGCCTTTGAGAATATAGAGACAAAGTGTCAAAAAATTCCTTATAATCAAAAAGTGAAGCAAGATTTGAGACGGAAGCTATTCTTTACTGAAGTTAGTGATAGTAAGATTAATAAGGCATTTGATATTCAGATTTCTGAACTCTCTTTAGAAGCAATTCTGATGGGATTTAGTGAAGTTATGGCACAGAATATACACTCCCCTGAAGAAAATATCTGGGCACTCAAAAAAAAAATTTATTTTTATTAAAATATTTTCATATTTAA